TTGTGAATAGTTTGGTTAATAAAAAAACTAGCACCTGCTATACTGTTGTGAATAGTTTGGTTAAGTTCTTTTTATTTTTTTTATAAAATCCAATGTGCCATGGCTCTTATTACCTGTACTATTTCAGCTATTATCCCACATTTTGTTAATAGGACCAAACAGATGAGTTAATGATTAGGACTAGGAGCTTGCAATCTGAGAAGGAAACACTAAGCAAGAGGCTTCAGAACTGCACAACTATATTGGAGAATAACCTGATTGATCCTGGTAAGTCTGGCCAGGTCTTTAGGTACCACTGTAAGGGCTGCATTTTTTTTTCATTTATTCAAAAAGTTCATACAAATCCTGCAGAAATGAGTGTATGGATAAATTGGCTGTTGGTTCCAAAGAATACTCATAATGGAATCAAAACTTTAATTCCATTTCTCTCCCTCTCTGTACAAATTCTACTGGACATGCTGAGTCTTTACTGCACTTTGTTTTTAATTGCAATCTCGAGTCATATTTTGGTTGATGCTTAGGTTATACATGGCAGCTTGCATTTTACATGAATTGGTTTTCGCAATATAATAGGATTCTTATGCCAGACATTCTCAATATTATGAGAACAGTCTCTGCCAACCTCTGTTTTATGGTCACCATTACTATTGTGAATTGTATAGCAAACTCTCCTGGTTCACCAGTATCCATTAGGGAAAGAAATCTGCTATCTTTGCCTGGTCTGGCAAACATGTGAATCCTGACCTTCTGCAATGTGGTTGACCCTTAATGTCTTCTGAAATATCCTAACAAACCACTCAATTGAAAGACAGTTTGTAATGGGTGACAAATGCTGACCCCATATGTCCCAGGAATGAATAAAGAAAATCCTCGTGATATTTGTTTCTGTTAAAGTTATTGTATAAACATGTATTGTTGTTCAGCATGAAACATAGGAGTATCAGAAATCTATGGTTTTGTTTTTGTAACTTTTTGATTTTGCTAGAAATTTTACTGTTCAATGAAACAATTGCTTGGTTATCTAGTAGTGTAAAATTACAGTTTAGGTTAACAGGGTCAGTTCTTTGGAGGTGGGTCATAGTTCAAACTGTTGAAAATTTATTTTGTTTATCTTTTACGCTGGAATATCGCTGAAACTGTTGTAGTCTGTCTGTCTGAAATCTAAAGGCTGCTTTCTAATTCTGATTGTAGCCATTGAATTCTCACTGAGCTTGCTTGGTTTGTTGACTCACGAGCACAGTGTATCTTTTTAGGGTATGCACCATTCTGACAGAATGGAATTAACAAAAAGTCTATCAACACACAATAAATAGAGGTTGTCACAATCTTGTTTGCGTCTAGAGTGAGACAGCCACTTACTCTTTCCTTGAACTGGAACATGTAAATAGTTAAATCCTCTGTTTTACAAAGAGGTCTCTGATTTTAGGGTCTAATTTAGGATATACCTCTAATGTCTGTTCTCATCTTTTGCTTGTGTTTTTGTTTTTTTTTTCAGTTTCAGCCAATAGAATAATTGAAGAACATGATCAAAAGAATGCATACCGAAGGGATGCAATGGTAAGGTGGATTTTTCTTTTGCGTTTGGTTCTTTTTGTTTGTGGACAGCGAAATTTGGAAATGAGTCTGCTGGGGGTAGAATTTGATCTGCTTCGCAGTTGGAGGTCACCAGTGCTTTCTGTCCATTTGGATCTGGTTCGAGGACAATTTGCTTACTGTGGGACTGCATCCCAGGAAGGGATTTGGCGGCGGAGGGGGGAGAATCAGAAAATACTTGCAAGTAAGTCTATAAATTATAACTGACAGAACAGATGCCACATAGACTTTATGGCCAGATTGTATTTCAGTTTAAAAACAGCAATCTATTCTAATTAAGTCCCAATTCCTGCCGTGAATTTAACTAGTTTTGGTCATTTTTTTGAGAGCTGTACATCTGAATCAAAGTTCACATTTCTATTTCAGTTGGAAATTATGTACAAGTTATTAAGCATATACAATACAAAGAAAAGCAACAGTTTTGAAAATTTCTGCTCCAAAATTAGATCATTTCGTGATATGTTTTTTTTCCATCACAAACAAATATCTTTTTCTTCCCTATTGCTGCTCGAGACTTCAAAACACTAACCAAAAGAAATTTCACTCTTCATACCCTTTTTATATTGTAAGTTGTACTACAGAGTTACAAAGTGGAATGACTGCTCAATAACTCATCTGCTTCAGGTACATGCGGAGAATCTCCAGACAGAACTAGAAACATGGGGAAAATATGCTGAAGAAAAGAAGGGGAGGCTCCAGGTAAGAATCTTCTAAGTAGTGTAATGTTTTTTGTTGCAATGTTTTCCAATGAAAAGACAATCTTTAACATTTCTTTCATGAATTTGTAAGAATCCTGCACGAGCAACACAAACTGGGAACAAGATAGAAATAATGTGTGTGTATCATATATATAATATATAAAAGAAAATTCCAATGGAAATGTATTTAAGCAAGTATTGCAGGAAACTTGAACTAATGAGTTCATTTTAAAGGTTGCACAAAGTGATGAAATCTGATGACCTGAGGGAGGCAGCACTTAGTTACTAAATGTCAGTTGATGAGGGTGCACAAAGAAATAATACCCATGTAGAAATTATTATTTACCAAGGTGACGACTACCCTTTTTGTAACCATAGTATAGAATAGCAATATGTGTTTCTAACTCGTAACTACTATTGATCAGAATTATCACATTATTCCTAATTTCTGAATGAAGACATTTATCTTCATCCAAGGCATTCATGCTGCATGGGACTAGGTCCTTCATGTCTGTTACCAATGATGTGAATTGACTCACTCTGCAGTACATATTATTTGAAGAGGAGACACAGCTGTGGATCAAAGATTTAATCAGATTCAACAGAGGTCATTAATGCTAGATGTCTGATGTGATGGTCTGATCAACCTTTTGCCTAACATCAGTGCTCAAATCAGTTGGGGTTTGAAATTTTTCTATTCCTGAATCCAGATCTTAGGTTGCCAATCACCAGATAAGTTTGTCATTGAAGTGTATGCCATCATTGGGACTAGTTTTATTTCTGAAATATGGCTTATTTTTGTGGTCTATAGAATGTTGGAATTTAAGTTTCCGCATTATCCGAAATCGTTGAAGGAAGAACCTCTCAGCCCTGTGCAACAGTACTTTATGGAAACTGATATTTGAGGTCTGTTGACAAGAGGTTTGAGAAAATAGTAAGAATTAGTGGAATCATCGTGGTGTTGTTCATGTGTACTTAAAAGATTCTGCCAGTTTACTTTGTGATTGAATCAAAAATGGGCAAAAGTGTCCACAAACTTTTTTTTTTCTTCCTGACTGCCCTTTAAAATGGGGAGCTGACACCTTGAGTCAGTGTACGGCATAGTGCAGTTAGTATGATCAAGCCAGAGAGTTCTGGTAACTTGACCCGGCAACAAGTAAGGAATGGTGATCCATTTCCAAGTCAGGATAGTGAGTGATGTTCGGGTGGTGATGTCTGCCAAGTCCATGCTTCCTTTGTCATTGCCAATAGTAGAGGTTGCGGGTTTGGGGGTATTTTTTTGGAGAATTTGTTAGGCTGTTTCTTGACTATTCCCCAGAACAACTGTCTCAATCTTGGCACAAGTTCCAAGTTATGGAATGTTGATGAGAAATACTTTGCTTGGCTGGGAATGCATTTGTCATGTCTAGATCCAGGACCTAAGTTGATAGCTGTCTATTTATATGTATTGTAATTTGTTTATCATAACTGGCTGTCTGGACCTTGTTGGAGGATAATTAAAAGGCGACCAGTTTCTGTGGGTTTGAAGTCACCAGACCAGCTAAGAACAGGTTTCTTTCCCTAAAGGACATGAGTGAATCAGAACCTCACAAATAGGCACCACCTGTAAGTTCCCCTCCAAGCCACTCACCATTCTGACTTGAAAATATGCTGCCGCTCCTTCACTGTCGCTGGGTCAAAATCCTAGAATTTCCTCCCTAATGGCATTTTGGTTTACCTACAATACATGGACTGCCATCAGTTCAAGAAAGCAGCATCTCACCACCTTTTTAGGGATTGTGAGAGACAAGCAATAAATGCTAGGCATCAGAAGGAGGGGCTGTTGAATATTCATCTTGCCAGAAGATGACTAACCTACTGTGATCACACTTAAAAATTGAACTTGTCAACGAGGACTGAGATTAAGAGCTTGCTGATGCACATACTCTGTTCTCATTAAACTGTAAATAGCATTTTAAAGGTTGTGCAGTTACCTGCTTCAACTACCCTCTCAGGCAATGCATTCCAGAATTCCACTAGCCTCAAGGTGAAATAGATTTTCCTCATGGTTTTCGTGTATTTTTTCGACTTGTTGATCATTCATGTGTCATTTACACTATTTCCTTTATCCCTGTGAATAGGAGATGAGGCTGAACTTGGAGAACACCAAGGAGGACAGTGTTAAAATTGTACAAGAGACTGATTTGATCCAGAAGGAACTAGAGGAATGGAGAATATCTTTAAACCAATCAAAACAACTTTTGCATCAGGATTTTGAATGTGCTGATCTTTGAAATGATAATGAATCGCTTTAAGGTGTACATTTGCTAAATAAAGTTCCTCAAAGGGAATGGTGGAATTGGCCCGTTAGCAGTATATCAATAGATCAAGATCCTATTACTTACTAGGCAAATCATCAAAGTCTATTCCCTAGGTAAAATAACATTGGTGTTATGTTGTTCTGTTTGGTGTGCGATTGCCTTCTCTGCAGTATTTTTTCGTTATAGAGATGCTTCGGTTGAACCATCATCCAGCTAACTAGCTGAATTGTCGTGAGTTGCTGTTTCACAAAACTTGATGGATGTCGTAGACAGAAGTTAACAACCTCCATGTCGATTTCAGTCCAAGATAAAATTGTGAACTGTTATGCAGGGGAGTTAGTAAGTTTTACACTTATGGCATATGATTCTATATTCAGCATTGAAACAGACAATTTGGCCTCATAGGTCCAAACTGACAATCTGTCTGGTATATGATGGATAAACCAATTTTCATAAATATTATCAACAACTTATATCACTTACTTGCCTCAAACTTTAAAGCACTATTGGATCTGGTCTCAGCTTATCTTTTAAATGGTGTGGTACAGATGAATTATGGCTATGGACTTGGACAACTAACTCACTCCAAGCCGTACTTTTCAAGTTGCTTTGTTTATTGCCTAAGCTTATCTGAAGTGTATTTTTGCTTTATTTGCTACTTCACAGGGCAGTTAAGAGTCAATCACATTGCTGTGGGTTTAACTCCTGTAGAGTAGACAAATTAAGGATTGCTGATTTCATTTCCTGAAGAGCATGAGTGAACCAGAATACCACCTCAACAGTTTGCGTCCTTCATGTGAACAATACACAGCCTAATTATATACAAACCTTTATTACAAAAAAAAAGCCAATGCATGTGACTAAAATATAAATACAGTTAAAGTATTCATGTGAAACTTTCTTTTTTAAAGATTTTGAATGTGGGATTACAAAATAGAAAGTGTGTTACTGCACATCAAGTACTCATTTTCATTGAGACAGTTAACTGTGTTTAGCAGTTCTTTAATTTCTTTGCCAAGCGTGGGTCCTTGCGAATCTTTTCTTCCAGGTCAAGATACTTTATTGGCGCTGTCTCTTTGTGCCTGTGAACAAGTCAAGGTTCGGAATATTAACCTCAGTACTTGAAGGTAGAAGGAAACCAATTGACGATATGGGTTTAATTCTTAAATTATGAACGGTTGATTAGATAATATCTAATTCTTAAATCACTAATGAATTAACATTTCTCATGAATTCTCATTTCTGATTAGTCAAAACTAAGAGCTAAAGGCAAGTATTAAAATCGATAAGGACCCAACGTACATCAGTTTCCTGTAGGTCCACAGCACTAAACCGTTCACAATTTCCCACAAGTTAACACTAACTTGATCTATCATTAAAGCAGATTGGTGTAAGACATGGAAACGTTACAATAACAACTTGCTTTTGTCATGGTTTTAATATAGCCAAATGTCAAGGTACTTCTCAAGTGACCTTAAACAAAATTTTATACCAAGACATTTCTAAAAAAAAAATTAGCATAGATGATTAAAAGCTTAGTCAAAGAGGAGGTTTGAAGGGGGAATTTTAAGGGAAATGGAAATGTCTTTTCAGTATGTCTGTCTACCTTTTGACACATGCTGAATGTATCATAGCATGTAACCTGAGGCTATTAAGGTCACGTAAGCCACCTTGCCTTGGTTCACTAAGCTTGGCATTCTTCTTGGAGCACATAATAAAAGTTGTTTGGATTCTTCAATATCATGTTGTTCATGCCCAGGGTATGATGTTATACTGTGAGGTCTGTGTACAGCAGCAACTTCCACACAAGACATCCATGGATTGCTTACACCATTTTGAGTGGGTGGAACTAAGGAACCAACTTGGAGGGAACATTGGTTACAAGGGATAACACAAATATTGCCACATTGAGTAAAATATTCTATTGGAGGTAAAACTGCATCGCTAACAGTTAACTATTTCAGGACATGTCTGCTAAATGAGAAGTGACCCATATCACACTGTCACTTTACCATCAATGCTCAATTGGTCAAGCAGAGCATTTGGGATGTTTTGTCAAATCAGTATTCATTGTGTTGAACAATACAGCAAGATTTTCACATTGCATTGCTATACTTATGTATGACACTAATGGAGAAAGATTATCATGTCCAGCTCAAATTATGTTTGTAAGGCAAGTACAAAAAACGTTGCTGAGAAAACAATTGTCTAACTATTCTGTATGCGTCGTTCGTCAAAGATAGTAGAGAATGAGCTGCATACAAAGAGCAAGTAGCTAGAGTACTAACAAAAATTGTGCACTTGTCTAGGAGTAAGTTAGGAATACAAACAGCTTTGCTGCTATCCAACTTTCTAGAATATGCAACCAGTCCAGATTGTACAAAGTCATTACTGATCATGGTGTTACAGTACAAAGCCAGCTTCTGTGCCTCAAGCAAATGTAAGGCATAACTAAGCACAAAGACAGTGAGGAAGAACGCTTTGACAACGACGATTATGCAGTGCTATTGAGAGACCAACCATAAACAGGACGAGCTGTCGAGCAACTGCAACAGAGAACAATGTTTGCTTTGCCAGATGGGCATTTGATCATCAGATCATGACGAGCTTTCAAACACTCAAAGTATTATATTGAGATGAGTCTTGAAAACTGTCTTACTGATTGGGATAAGTTTTTAAGCTTTGGAAAAAGGAGATGTATCAAGTCTCATTTAACTAATGTGAATCCTGTATTTAAGAAGGGGGACAGCGTAGGTCCAGATAATTCCAAAGTCCACTTAACATCAGTGGTAGAAAAAAATGATGCAATTCTTACTGAAAGAGAAAATACTAGCACATTTCAAAATGAGAAATTAACTTATGAGTCATCAGCATAGACTTCAAAAGGGAAAGTCTTGCTTAACCAGCCTTATTGTAATCCTCCAAGGAGGTAACAGGTGTAGTTACAAAAGCAGCAACAGAGAGTAGATAGAGGGAAGCAGTAAATGTAATTTACCTGGAGTTAAAGCCTTTTGAGAGGGTGTCCCACAATAAACTAATGAATAAGGTCAATGAATGTGAAATCAGGGGACAAGTGACAGAATGGATTGTTATCTGGTTTCAAGACATAAAGCAGAGTGGAGGTCCAGGTTAATTATCCTGAGTGGCAGAAGATAGCAAGTGGTAATCCAAGAGGGAGGATGGGAGAAAACAGGGGCTGTAAGAGCTGCTCCTTTTTTTTTGAGGTTTTCTTTCCAGTGTTGGAGCTGATTTCCTTGATTTCTTGAAGCAGTAATTACTGTTTTATAAGTTGTTGCATTGTTTTGGAACTTTGGGGGGAAAACATCAAAATAACGGTACTTTAAAACTGGGGGAAAGAGAGAAGGTACCACGTGGTAAGTGAAAAAAAGGAGCAGTGAACCTGCACAGCCAACTGACCAGACAGTGAAATTTCATAACTGACTATCTGTACTTACAAGCATCTCTGGACATCGGAGTTGGTCTCAAAAAAAAAACAATAAGCAGCTAACCTTAGAGACCTCCACTATCAAGAACTGCTCACATCAAGGGATTAGCTCAGTGTTTTTTTTTAATCTAACCTTACTCTTTTTTTTCTGTAAATCTACAATAGTGAGTAGGGTGCTTTTTGTTTATATGTTTTATTGAGATCTATCTCTTGATTTAACATTTGTAAAATATATCAAGTTATCATAGAGCATTAAGACTGCTATTTTCTGGGTCTGTAGTTTGTTAAGGTGCAAAGATGGCCTCTAGTAGTTGGATGTGGGAGATTAGGGAGAATTTCAATATTACCGATAATTGTGTCTGCAGGAAGTGTCTGGTTGTGAATCCTGTTGGATCACATTGGATAGGTTTGAGCATTTAGAGGCAATGAAGAATTTACAGGAGCCGGGGGTATGATGGATGGCAGTTTCAGAAGGTAGAGAAAATTGCTGATACAGTTGGGTAGGTGGTTACCTCTAGGAAAGGTAGGCAGATAGTGCAGGAATCTCCTGTGGCTATCCCCATCTCAAACAAGTATGCTGTTTTTGAAAATGTAGGGGGTGATGGATTCTCAGGGGAATGTAGGACAGCACACTTTCTGGTACTGAGACTGGCTCTACTGTAAGAAGACGTACATCCAGTTCCAAGCAATTGATTGTGATAGGGGTCTCTCTAGGCAGAAGCACAGACAGATGTTTCTGCAGTTGACAACAAGGCAACAGAATGGTGTTGCCTCCCTGGTGTCAGGGTCAAAGATGTCTCGGAGAGGGAGTAGAAGATCCTGAACGGGGAGACTGGCCAGCAGGACATCGTTGTACACAGTGGAATAAATGACAGGAAGACAAAAGGACACAGTTCTGAGGACAGAATATAGTAGGTCTAAAAGTATGTCCTAGTGGGTAGTAATAACTGGATTATTCCCAGTACCATGTGCTAGTGAGAATAAGAAGAAGAGGATAAAGTAGATGAGTGTGTGGCAGAGGTGCTGGTGCAGGGGAGAAGGATACACATTTTTGGATCATTGAAATCTCTTCTGGGGTAGAAGTGACCTGTATAAGAAGGATGGGTCACAAGTGAATTGGAAGAGGACCAATATGCTGGCGGGAGATTTTCTAGAGCTACTTGGGAGGATTTAAACTAGTAAGGGGAGTGGGACCCAGAGAGATTGTGAGAAGGGGAATCGGTGTGAGGCTGGTGCAGTTGGGAAAAGGAGCAAGTCAAACAGTCAAGGCAGGCAGGAGTAAAGCAGAGAACGAGGTAGGACCCATAAATTAAAATGCATTTATTTCAATGCAAGAGGCCTGAAAGATAAGGCAAATGAACTCAGGGCATAGTTGGGAACATGGGAGTGGGATATCATATCTATTACAGAGACGTGGCTCAGAAATGAACATGATTGGATGCATAATGTTTCAGGGTATAGATGCTGTAGGAAGGATAGAAAGGGAGGCAAGAGAGGAGAGAGAGTGGCATATTTCATTCAGTGTTAGTCGTGTACTTAGGATATTCTGCGGAGTACGTCCAATGAAATTGTTTGGGTGGAACTG